AAAAACGGGGGGGGGGGGGGAAGGAAGACACAATGCCGATTCGCTCGCTCCCGTTGACTCGCCGCGAGCTCCGCCAAAGCTCGCCGCCATCCTCTTCGATCACTAATCGTGCTCTTTTCTATGTCATGTGTGCACATGAGTTACAGCGACTTGAGAGAGGATCAAATGACACGTCGCCATCACATGAACACAACATTCGAACAGGATCTGTGCATACACAGGAGCTCAACAACCCAAGCAACGAACCCCAACGGGCCGGGGGGTGCACGACAGCTTCCATTCATTCATTCATTCATTCATTCGCGTCTCCCGCATGTATATGTGACACGGCTGTGGCGGATCCAGAAAAGCTGCCATTTTATGAGTCATCACTGGGGCCCACTTCGAGCACACTCAGAAAGTGAGCAGAGTAAAGTAAAGTAGAGTGAAGCAGAGCAGAAGCGACCACCAAAGTGAAGGAAAGTAAAGTGAAGCGGAGTGAGAAGGGAGCATTAAAGTAGAGTCAGTGGACACGTCATAGGCTGCTATTTGGTTCGGTTCAACGCTTTACTCTTTGCTTCCCGTCGCGGTCTTCGGTTCGCTTCATTTTGCTTCACTTTGCTTTTTCGCTCCCCCCCTTCCCTTTGATTTACTTTACTTTGCTTTACTTGACTAACATTAGTGGCCCTTCCTGCGGTTGCTGCGTTGCCGTGCTTGACTCAAAGCGAAGTAATATAACACCAAAAAAGGGCATTCATGGAAAACGATTAGCAGCCCTGCAAAAACGAGGCAGGAACCAAGGCGGGTGTCCGCACACCAAGGTTTCCCTTGGCTACCCCTGGATTTCGGAAAAAGGCCAGAATCTTTGGGAGTCTGCGTGTCGTAACGTGTCACCCCGATGGCGCGGGGGGGCCCGGCTTGTATACTTCCAACAGGCCGGGGGAGGTGGAGTGCCAGCTATATGTTGTGGGGGTGCGTGTACGTGTCTGTCTCGCGGGGGTGCGTGTACGTGTCTGTCTCGTGCTCCTCAGTCAGAAGCACACTGTTGTGTGCGTTGACATGGGCTGGCGGATATCAGACCAGCGGATCGCACATCACACCAACGAGCTGAGGAACGAGGCACGTATCAGCGAGACACAGCGTTGTCGACCAGAACGGTAGCACAGCCGAGCACCAGCCACATCACATGGGCCGCGGAGAAGAAGAGCAAATAAAGGAGCCAGCACAGATCTACGATAGGACGGCATGCCATCACGATGTCCCCGAGTTGTGTTCCAGTAAATATAATGCGCCAAGCAGATCCTGTGGGACCGTGTCGTAGGCTTGAGAGACACAGTCGCTGTAGTTCGTGGCTTCCCATGCGCCCATAGCACGAAACGTCGAGGACACAGACGGAAAGACGGACAGACGGACAGACAGACAGACAGACAGATAGACAGAGGATGATTCTGAGGCATACGGTGACTCAGCTCCGCTCCCTCGCTTCGTCACCGTGATGCTTCGCCTGCACTGTACCAGTTTACTGTTGGCATTTGGAAGCGCGCACATCCCGCTGGCTCGAGGCCGGATGGCTCCCTCCCATTTGACCCGGTACAGGCAGGCTCAGACCAGGACAGGCAGGCTTAGCAGCGACGGGATGTCCGGGCTACGGGATGTCCGGGCTCGACGAGCGAGCCCGGACACAGGGGTAGGGAGGCGAGAGTGTGCGCGTTTTCAGTTTTCAATCAAAACACCCGTAATCTCAAACATCTCTTCATTTCGGGAGGTTGCCCGTCGCGAAATTTTCGAGAAAACACGCTTGTTTGCAGTGTGCGACATGTTTTCGCGGTTAACGAACGCTGTCCTTTGTTTCTGCATGTATTGTTTCCCTTCGCTTGCTTGATACGAACTGGTGCTTAGACGACCTTCGTCGCCCGCTTCATGCATCTACTTAATTCTGACGAATTTTCAAGAAATCAGACATGCGCACCGTTACGTATCAGGGGGGTATCAAGAATGCCGGGCCCCCCATGGAAGTGGCCGTCAGCGTTACGACGACGGGCAAAGGGCGAGATACAAAAGGGCTGTTCGTCTGTTGTGTATCTCACCAACCAGGGGGCTGCTGATTCAGATGCCGAAAGCGAGAAGACAGAATTACAAACTCGCTTCAATCTCTACAAGCATAACTGGCACAACTGAAATAGTGTGAGGAGCAGCATCAGTGCCAAAATACACGACGGCCCTCCGACTCTCTTGACTGCAAAACTCTCCAACTTGTCTTTGGATGGCTGGGCGGTGGTCTGTTCATTCCCAGTAGCCGGAGTTCTTTCCTTGGGAGCTCGAGTCGTTGTGCTCTCCTTCGCCCCCTCAGGAGCTG